GTGACTAAGCATTAGAATTTTACAGCATTCATTTTTTATCCATAATCTCAGTATAATCAACACGGATTAGCCAAAACATTATAACTACTGACAAGTAAAACAAGCACTGATTATGTTGTGTAGGGCACCATGTGTAGATCATTGCACTACTTAGTAAGATCAGTTTTACTGGCAAGTTGATAAAAAGTTTGTAGTTTCTCCAGTTGGCTACTATGAATCTTTAAAGGTGAAAGGAATCTGTATTACCTGATTTTTTATTATTTCCAAGATGACCCTATCAAACTCTTCAAGTCAGTCGATGCACCGGCCACTAGATGGCAACCAGTCACAGCCCAAACTCTTTCTCTCTAGCTCTCTCTCTCTCTACCTTCTGCTTATAGTTGTCCATTTACAGCTGTAATCTGCCTCAACCCCCCACAGAAAAAAAAAGAACATGAAGAAACTCTTTAATTTATATCAACCACCGGGCTCACACTCCATAAAAGCTTTTAGCAGGCGCTGAGCTGATGTGTCAGGTGGGTGTGGCAGGCTCATCAGCCCTGACATTTAAGTGCAGTAGTGCTCAGCRTAGAAGGGATTGTAGGATATGAGTAGATACAGATGACAAGCCCCCCTGCGAGGATGATTGCAGTGGAGTGACAAGAGGAGACCAAACAACAGAAAGAGCAGAGAGAAGGTGTCGGGAGGAGAGAGATGAAAGGCGAAGGAGGGGGGATGAAAAAAAAAAGAGTTGAGAAACAATAACTCAACCTGACAATTACATCTTTGTTGGAATTTTTATCACAGGTCAAAAACTAGAACTCTAAAATGTATGAAAGTGGAATTTTCATAAGCAAACTAGTTTATCAACAACGTTTGTTACAGGATATATGGGACGATTCACAACATTTGCAACTTTTCAGTTCAACAGAGTCAGATCTGCGTCGTTCTCCAGACAGACAAGTTCAAGTTGCTCTGTCACTCATATACATCTGCATCCTTCAGCAAATAACTGAAGTATGTTTAAGAGTGTTGTATGTAATTTACATTCTAACAACAACAAAAAAGGCTCAAAGATGGAAAACTAGAGAAAAGTCAGTAGGGTAGTTTCACTGTTCAGTGTCCTGCAAAGAGCAGTGATAAACTTATTTATCTTTGTCTCTAAAGCAAAAAAGGATTAAAGATTTCTGGACTTCTGTCCTTCCTGCCAAACCAAAGCAGAATAACACTTAAAAATAGCTCATTTTATTTGACTTTTTTATTTTATTATGATGTAAATGATTAACTTGTAACCATTTGCAAGAAAGTTATAACTTGTCAACTGTTAAACAAGCCATGAGAAAATGCAGAAAATGTCCATGTCAAAGTAAAAGCGTAGTATCACAGGTTCATATTTCTATTAAAAGTATCTGACACTATTAAAGAAAATAAACTCTCTCATAGAAAACTCCTATGTTGAACTTTTCTGAACATGAAACAGTCTCCATGTCAATGAGAGCAGAAGTATAGCTGCACTGGGAAAACTGAATATTACAGAGTTGGAAAACCCAAAAATAAGTTTCTCTTTTACAATCCTGACAAAATCTTGCATCACATTTCATAAAGCTTTCAAAAAGCATCTTTGTGTATCTGAGACATAATGAAGTTCAGTTAAGTTTTTTTTATAAGTTTTATGAAATTTAGTCAAACAAAAGACGTCTTCCACGAATCTTCACTTGAAGATAAATGACACAAGAAACATGGAAACCTGCTCCTGAAAATGACTCATTTTCATCACTAATTAAACCTTCTAAATCCTTTGACATTAAAAGCTAAATAAYGCCTTAGATGTGCCAAAAAAATTTAAATWAAATAAAATAAAGCCGGGTTGAGGGAGATATTTATATCAGTACTTAATGCTCACACTGCTGAGCTTTATTAAAAGCAACTAATTTCAAATTCAGAGCGAACAACATACGAGCACTGGCATATATCTGATTAAGTTGTCGTGAAGATGAGGAAAGACAGGGATGGGCGCAGGCACACAGAACAAGTATCTGTACGTGTGTTATTAAATTCAAATTACAACCTTGTCTTGTGCAAATATAGCTGTTCCTYATCTGTTCAACATTCCTCCTACTTGACGAAGCAGGGAGCTGAAGACAAGCGACATACAGCCTCTGACAGGGACAGAGATCCCACCACCTAGGCCTGTGTCAGTGGAAGCGCACACACATACGAACGCGCACTTACAGAACGCCTCGGACGCCCTGTGGCTCCACAGCTCGACCTGCCACTCGGACATTCACCGGATCAGACGGACAAATCTCTAACAGACGGCTCCTGACAAAGAGATTATCACCGTGACAGGAGAAGGCCGTGCAGCTGTGGGTGGTGGAGTTTGCAGCAGGGAGATGTGTGAGTCTGTCTTTGCATGTGTGACGGGTGGGTGTTTGAGAACGAGTGCATAGGGGTGTGCGAGGGGTCAAGTCTG